GTTTAACAGGTGAGGACACTGAATATGGCTTATTGGGAATGACCATGAAGAGACAAATGTGCGACTGATGTCCGATTTGTGAAGCATATGTGTTGATTATCAGGTTTTGTTTAGATTTGCAGTAGTTCCAGAATATGATTTTACAACTAAAATGCTATACGTAGAGAATTCCATAAGAAGTAACCATTTAATATCCACTTGGTTTCCACCTATATGTAATCTTTAGCTATCAAGAACACTGTCTTTTGCTTGCCCGCTATTATATTGTCTCTTAGTCATAATTTTTTATTATCTCAAGCTTAATGTTAAGCTGCGATACCCGAGCTATTGTTTGAAATTCTGCAGTAAAGCAGTATGCAGTGACAGTTTAGATATTTTAATCTCAGTTTGCACAAAAAAAAAAACAAACTATGCACCAGTACTCTTTTTAGATGAATGTACTAATTGTGTATATAGGATGCTTGGATACAATAGAAATTTTGTGGGTGTTAACAGTTGCTTGAGGTTCATATTTCCCTCTATGTGGGGTTAATTTTTCGAATACAAAATGTTAAGTGAAGTGAATTATTATCTCTTTATAAGCCTAGACAGAAATGTCTTTCGTTCCCATTTTATAACAAGCTCCCTCAAATCCCTGCTGAATATATGTTATTTGAGATGATGGTTTATTTTACTCTTTTTGTGGCTTTCAAATTTCAGTTAGTTTTTAACATAACTGTTATAGTACATGAAGGCTTAGCCATTCTAAAGATATAAAATTAGTAAAACTGTTATTTTTCTTGGGGAAAAAGTCTTGTATATTCTCGCTGTGAAAGTGATTTATGTATATACTGATATCGTTATAGAAATGAGAACAAAAAGTTATGTCTTTGGCATAGTGGTAATGTATGTCTTATATTATTTTGACAATCATTTACCGTTGTTAGATACATTCAATAAAATATTGATATCGTTATACAAATGTGAACAAACTTGACAAAATTTATGTTTTTGTCATAGTGTAAAGGATGTCTTGTTTTATTTTAACAACCATTTACCGTTGTTAGATACATTTAATAAAATTTCTGGCTCCATCATTATACATTTGTATATTGGCTTTTGATTAGTTATATCTTAATTCATATAATTTTTTTAATATTTTAGCGTGGAGTACATCTTAATCAAAGAAAACTAAAAAAAGAAAAAAGAGAGAGTTGGCAGAAAATATGCTTCATGTCCCTAGAGGTCCGGTCGGCTGGTCGGCAGAGGAAACTAACATTCAAATTTTAGTTTAAAATTTGTCATTCTAGAAATTATTTTTAAAAAAATTAATATTGAATTTAAATTAAAAAGTAAATCATATTATCTCAAAACAAATTAGTTTTTAGTTAATAGTGTTTCTTTTTAAGGAACGTCCAGAATAAAGACAATATTTTTAGCCAATATATTTGTTTGATTTTAATTTAATATAAAAGTTTAAAAAATAACTACGACTTTTGAATATTATAATCACTGTAATAAACATAGTTTTAGCAATAATAAATATGCACCATAGACTTTTAAGGACATTTAAAAGCAGTACTAAATGTCATTAAAATTAGTAATAATTAAATGCTATTGTCGTTAATTGGTTACCGCTACAAATTATTTTGATATAGTGAATCTTAAATGGAAGATATGTAGAATACATTAAGATATTGTTTAAGTCTTATAATTTTAAAAAAATATCATATGAGTAGTTAAAATTAAAGAGTTTCAAAAAAATAAAAAAAAAAGAAGAAGATATTTTAAACAAATAACTAAAAAACAAAAAACAAAACAAGTTGAAACAAAAAACTTTTCATAAGCTTTAATTTGTGCATTACTTTCAAAACTAAAATTAGTTAGTGAGAGAGAGTTTTTAAATTTCCCACTAGGTATTTAATATAGATTTCGATAAAACAAAATATACACATACACCGTATATGTAAGTAATTAATGAATGTGAATAACGATGAGCAGTTTAATAGACATTAATCACCAGATATTTATCTGATTTTATTTACGGGTGGAGATATAGTATTTCTTATAATATTGCATATGGTCAATAATTTTAGTTTAAGTTATATATTTATTTATATTTAATTTTTCAATGAATATGTATAAATATATATATTTGTAAATCCAATAATTCAGATAAGTTATAAATCTCATAAAAACTTACGACTCGTAAATTTTAAATTTTAATTTCGTGTATAATTGGATTTGTTAATTGCATTATTTATCTGGAAAAGGTAGTTGGCACGTAAATTAATTATTTATTATCAAACCATTTTAATCCAAAACTAAACAAATTATTAGGTTAATGCAACTAATCATGAATTCATGCCTTTTGGTTGGTTTGAAATTATTATTATTATTATTATTATTATTATTATTATTATTATTATTATTATTATTTTGTGTGTATATGCTTTGCATATGGCCTGATAAGTATGTCCGTTTCGAAGAGTACTGCCCCTTAGTTTTAAAATATTGATCGGAAAGTACTCTCTAAGTTTCTAATTACGTATTTTCTTTTTCTTTTATAGTTATTTCTAAGTATTTGTCTATTTTGACAAATCAAAAAAAGATTTTTTTTTTTACCTATTATAACTTTAACTAAATAACTAAATGTTTTGAAAAATGTAAAATTTTTCATCCACTTCATAATTAATTATTTTCTTAATAGATGTGTCAATTCAAAAGTGGACAAATAAAAAGAGATATTATTTTGGTGCTAAGTGTTAAAACACATTTTTTTCATTATATATTGGATATGGGAATGTTTATATTAGCTTCAAAGATCAACTCAAGGATATTAGTTAATTTTAAAATCTAGATTTTCATAAAACGCAAAACGGATGTTTGACTAAAATTTTGAACTTATTACTATACTACTAGTGCACTAGCTAAGACCCAGCCACCCAGGGTAGGGTGAGGGACTAGTATTTTATTTTTTTTTACTTTGTCAGTTATTTAGTTAAATTTAAATTATATAGTATATGACATATTTAAAGATGATACTTCCAACAATATTTTATATATTTAAAATTTAAACATGAAATTTTTGATTAAGAATAAAATAATTTCATCATTACACCAGATTGATGGAATTGCATTGCCTAATTATTACACCAATGAACTAAAGAAGGATTCTTGAATTTGAAGTAAAGTAAATTGTAAAAAATAAATTTTGAATTAGCAGGTTTACCCCTACCAGTGGATGTGATTATAGTAGTAATTATGAGAACATAACTTTTGATATTTAAGTCAAAACTTTCTAGATTTATGTTAATGGAGTATTCTCTTCGTTCGATATTATATGTCATAATTTTTATTTATAGAGTCAAATTTTAAAATGTATTTTTTCATTATATTAATATGTAAAATTGCTATTATAGTACTTTTCATATAGTTTTTGAATATCCAATTTTTTTTGTTTAAATATTGAATTAATGTAATCTAATTTACTTTTAAAGATTAATCAAATTGACTTTTAAAAAATGCAATATGACAAATAAAAATAGACGGAAGGAATATTAATTACTATACTAGTTGTCATGCCACCAATAAAACAATAGAAAAAATAAAATAAAATTCAATAACTTCTCCATTTTCACTTATAAACAAATGGAAATACGGTAAAATCTTTATAAATTAATATAGGTAGGATTATGAAATTTTATAGAGATATTATTTAATCGATAAATTAATATTTATTAATTTATAGAATAATTTGAGATTTGATGAAGATTAATTTTTATTATCTCAAAATCATTGTATCTTACAAAATTTATGTATCATATTTATCGATTTCACATAAAAAAATATCATACAAAAAGTACGATGAATACATCAAAATTATTGTATCTTATTAATTTTAACGTTGTGATGTTGTGATAATAAGAGTTTTCAAGATATATTATCGAACATAATTTATCGTGGAATATTAGAAGACTATGGAGTGGGACAAAATGATCCAACAAGGATCGATGTTTTGGATGCTATCAATTATGCAATTCCCGTTTGAACAACAAATGTTCAACAAGAGACAATAGCAAATTGTTTTCGATACTGTAAAAATCGTTAGGAAAATGCAATTTCAGAGAATCTGAATGAACCTACTTGTGAAAACGTCATTCATGAATTTGAGGTCATGATTAATGATCTCGGTTACCATAATAAAATGGATGTCAATAACATGTTGAATTATCTGAGTGAAAGTGATACTTGCTCAAAAGGTTAAGAGTTTAGAAGAAATTGTGAATGTCATAAAAAAAAAAAGCAATGTTAATGATGAAGTTAAAGATGATTGTACCTTTGGAACTAGATACGCGTAAGGAAACACTTACTGTATCTAGAATTCTTCACAATTTTATGGTGCAATTCGAAAAGATAACATCAACGCTCTTGGATGTAATAAAAAAAAGTATGAACTTCAACTATATCTAAATTTTAAGAAAATCAGATCACAATATAATCATATTTCACTAAATTGTCTTAGATATATTTGTACTTTAAAAATTATTAATTTATGATATTAGTGGGACCATATATTTATATAGGAGTCTTCTGAAAATATAGTATTTTATTATCTTATCGAAATTGGTGATTTTCTCCATTGGCCCGAATCGATATCAAAGGAAAAAATATTTTTAAAAAATTATTAATTTATCATAAATTAATTTATAAAGATTTTACTATATCTAACAAAATGAATTAATTATAACATAAAAAACAATTACCTCTCTTTCTAAAATTGTAGAAAATATAAAATTCTTCTTTTTACTAGACTATTCTGTTTTCAAATAAAGTCTTTTCCCTTAGCAACTTCAGCCCTCAATATTTTTTTTTTTAAAAAATAATGATGGATTTGCAAAAGTGGGTGGCAGCTAATTCTAGTCAAAAAACAGTCAAACAAAAGTAAATAGTACTCATATACAAAAAAAAAAAAAAAAAAAACTATTATAAATCTAAAACAAAAATTCAAGAAATAATAATACTAAGAAGGAATCTTGAACTCAGCTGGCAAAACCAAATAAGGTTGGCGGGTAATAATACAATCGAAACAAAAATAAATTATTTGTTTTAGTTGTTGAAAAGGTAAAAAAAAAAATGCTTTGTTTTGTCTACAAAGCTTAGTTTTTTGGTGATGAACAGATACACATTTAGTAATATTAAAAACCAAAAAGATTGTTTTTTTTTTCTTTTCTTGTTTTCATCATTTCTTGGGGAAATTAAGCAAAAACCCACTTAGTTCATTTATCTCAGAAGTGGAATTTTAATTTTATAAATCAGCAAATCCCAATGATTTTATGATCTGGGGTTCTTCTCATAGTACTGGAAATGGAAAATTCTGTTCAAGAAATGCATCAAACACAGCCTGAATTTGATTCTTCTGCTCATTCTAATACAGTAAGTTCCCCTCTTTTTTTTTTTTTTGGTTTTTTGGTTTTTTCATATAAAGGAGGTTGGGGTGGTGGGGAAGGGTTGGTGAGTGTGGTTGTGTACAGAAAGTAGTTAAAGAAATGATTTTTATTCTTTTTCTTATGTGGGGTTTTCTTGAATTTAATGTTATTTGGTGATTGGTGAAGGAAAGATGTGAAATTTCTTGAAGTGGTAAAAGATGGAATGTGAAAGATTTGATTTTTCTTTTTTTATTCCATTTTTGATAAGTGAGTTTGAATGAATTGGTTGGTTTGAGATATTTATGGAACTACTTCAGTTAGTTTGGAGCTATAATGGGTTCTTTTCGAATATAGCCGACCATAAATTATTTGGGATTGAGGCGTAGTTGATGTTGTTGTTCTTAAAGAAGTAGTAGAAAGAAAAGAAAGTGTCTCATTTTGGTATCCTCTACTAGGATTTGTGTTATACTTATCTTTCAGTTTTAGCATATTTGTGAAGGTTCTAGACAAAGTTGCAACTTTCGGCTTGCCAATGAATTGAAATTAGACGATACATGTTTGTCAACTCATTATGATCCAAGCTTGATTTTGTGGTCTGAAATTTACTTGTATGGAAAAAGAATGGAGAGAGAGAGGAAGCTACTTTAGTGCAGCAGCAGTCAACAAGACGGCCAAACCTCTCATCTCTGCAAATACCTACAAGATCTTTGGAAAATGCTTTATCCAGCTTTACAAGAATAGATGTTCCAAGTCCTAACTCTGCCAGATCAGGGTTGCCCCCAAGGCCCCACTCTGCCAAGTTCATGTCATCTATGAAGAATTTGATTCCACAGAAAAGCACTAGGGCAAAAAATGTAACTCACGATGGCGAAAAGACAGTTCTCATTATCCCAGACATGCCACTTTCAGACAAGCCTTCAACTTCAAGGTCATTTTCTCTCAATAAAGTTTTGTTCTCTTCAACGACAAAATCAATCCGGTCTTTACCAGAGACACCAATGGGAACTGTGGAAAAGCCTGCAGAGGACAATTGTTTGGATGATCATTCAGAGTTAATTGTACGTCATATGTCCTAATATTTTCGTATTTGGATACACTTTTTTTGTGCGTACTCTCACTTTTTCTGTTTGTACTATTGATTTACTTACTGACAGAAACCTGAAGCTCTACAGCATATGAAGCGTTCATTTTCAGTTCCTATACATGTTAAAAGTGGAAGCTTAAGGAGGACTGATTCAAATGGTGGTCTCATCCGTGTAATTTCCAAAGTCGTTCGCACAACCACAGATTCTGATGCCTCAGCAGACATACCACAGGAAACCGAAAATGGTATGCCAAAGTTTCGTGCATCCTGGCTCTTATAAATTTTATACTTGTCACTAGCTTCTCCGATTGGATAATGCTATACATGTGCTTTAATAGTGTATTTATGAAAAACTGTTTTGATCATTTTCTGAACTAAAAAGGTTCTCGCTACAAGCCTTCAACACTAACTGTTTCCCATCTGGATCAATTAGTATACCTGTTTGATTTTAAATAAGCACCTTTCTTGATGTAACTGTTGAAGTTTGTTTATGTATCGTCAGCACCTTCTTCTTTAGTTTTTTGAGAAAGACCACTTTTTTTTTTTTTAGTTATCAACATCTCGAATCTCTTGCAAATGAGGTAATGAATAATTTCCATATTATTAGTGAGAAGAATAAGTCTGGAATCTATTGTCTCTGGTATTCAGTAGGTATTGAACAGTTTATCCTTGAAGGTTATCAAATTTTGCAAAATAATTTGTATATTCGATCAGTCTTGAACAGCTACTAAGATGTTAACTCTACTCTGCATATGTATGTCTCTCTCCACACATTGGAAATTACATCTACTTGTGAGTTAGTTGACATTTTTTTTTTGGCTATAACTTTTTTTCCTTGCTTCAGTTTTTACATCCCAATTTATATCGACATTCTTTCTACTTTTGGTACATTTCAAACTGTTTGACACCATTCCAAAGTATTATTCCCTCTGTTTCATTTTGTGTCTTAGTTTTGATTAGGCATGAAATTGAAGAAAGTAAAAGACTCTTGGATCTTGTGGCCATAGAGTGAGGGTGTGTATAACATATCAAAGATTATTCCTTGAATCTTGTGGTCTTAAATTTATCTTGTCATTCCTGTAAGGAACTGTTGTTACTAAATATAAAAGGTGGAATTCTATTCGAAACAAACTAACACATAAATTGGTCTAGAGGGAGTGTTATCCTATACGACTTTCAAGAATTCAAATTCAATTAATTAAAATATATGATTTGATGTTTCTCGGTACTGATATAGAACGTACATCAAACTAACATTTTGGACTCGTGTCTAGTCAAGGCAATATGATCTGTAGATCTTAAATTCAGTTAAAATAGGTCTTTGTTCCAGCAAGCTTTTGATAGATGTTCTATCACAACTTTAAATTAGTAAGGAATAGAATTGGCTCTGTGTAATGAGAAGTATACATTTAAGAGGATGAATAATGGTGAGTGTGCTTAATTATGGAAATTACTAACTTCTATTTGGTCGTGTTCATTTTCTTTGGCTCCTGGTAGTAGATAGAATCGTTGAATGTGTTAGGACTATTTGATACTTCATATAGGTAAACATTAAGAGTTAAGGGAAATGAAGGCTGCTGTCCCTCTCATGGTTTGCGTACTTCCTGTGGTATCTGATCTGATTGTCTCTAGATGAGTATAATGGTTTTTCTCCTTTGCTATCTACAGCGACAGATAATACTGGTGAAGATATTCCCGAGGAAAAAGCTGTTTGCAGAATTTGTTTTGTTGAACTTGGTGAAGAAAGTGAAACATTTAAAATGGAATGCAGCTGCAAAGGAGAGCTCGCACTCGCTCACAAGGCATGCACCTTAAAGTGGTTTAGTATTAAGGGTAACAAGATCTGTGATGTTTGCAAGCAGGAAGTACGAAACCTCCCTGTAACATTATTGAAAATTCAAAATCCTCCAACTGCTGCCAGAAGGTCCCAAACTGTAACACAGCAGAGAGAAGTGCCTCGTTACAGGCAAGTCCAGCTGATAATGTTTTGTACCTTTCCTTACTTTCACTTGAATTTTATGTGAATCTTAGACTTAAAAGATGTCAGATAAATATAGCTGACTGGTTTCTGGGAAGGTGTGTTGCACGTTTATCCCCTGATCAAGTTTAGTTATCCCCTGATCAAGTTTAGCACATACTGATAGAGTTCTAATTCAGACTACGTATGATATGAATATGTATTGTCATTTCTCAACTCTATGACTGAATGACTCACAACATGATTATTTTTTTGAATTGTTCGGTTGAGTGATTATCTAAATTATAACATTTGCATTAATTTGTAATAACAAAGGAAATTTATAATGCCATAAAAAGAACAAAAAAGATTATTAATTCAAAAGTATCTGATCTAACAAACAAACTAAACAATGAAAGAATGGTATTCCTTTAGTGTAACAAAATAAGATATATATATGATCTCATAGAATGTACAAAATATTTAAAAGCTTCACAATATTTAAGATTAAAATAAGAATTAGAAGTGAATTAAAAAAAAATTCTAACTAACTATCAAGAAAAGGGATCAGTACCTTTATTGCACATTAGATGCAGCCATGTAGTGACTTGTAGTGTATTGGTTTATTTATAGAATTTCACAAAAAGAAATTGAGAAGTTCAAGTTACTGTTGGAAGCTAAACTGTTGTAACTTCTTTCCTAATAACTTTTCTTTTATCAATTATTTAACATTAAATAGAATTTCATTAAAATACACATCAATTGTTGATCTTTAAATTGCCTATAATTAACTAAATATAATTTAGTTTTTAGAGTTTATAAAAGGTACAATCTTTTTAGTGGTATTATTGGAATAATTTAATTTTATAGGGTTCTTTTGGTTTTTCAACTTTCTTTTTTTTATACCCGCTTTTAGTAATATATAAAATAATATATATATATATATATATATATATATATATATATATATGATAAATTAGGTTCTAGGCAGATTCTTTCTGTTTTGCAAAATTTAGCTTCATGCATTTAGATTTTATTTGCCTTTGCAAATCAGTCAAGTAGTGGACATGACAAAAAAATTTGGAAAGCTTTTGATTCTTTACATGATGCATTGTAAAAGACGAGTCACAAGGAAATTTTATTCTTAAAAACCTGTGCAATTACTGAACTTATGAACCCCTAACTAAGCCTTGACGAACATTACTAATTCTGTTCACAATTGTACAACATGTTTCTGATTGATTAGCTCCCGTTTAGCCATATATTTTGAAGTTGAAACTTAGAAATTTGAGTTTTTAAGTTGTGTTTGGACATGCATTTTTTTAGGAAACTATTTCAAGTTTTGTGCGCGGAAGTCCCAAAAAACTGGTCTGAGCCAATTTTTGGGAACTTGAAAATATTTGTAGTTCAGATTTTCAAAATTTGATCCAATATGATGCCCAAACAAATATTTGAAGATAACATTTCAAAATCTACTCCCAAAATCTATGGCCAAACTCTAGCTTAAACATTTGGAATCTATTGGTTCTCTACATGATGCACCTGGAATCATGAGAACTCTAAAATCCTAAAAATCTTTTAAGATTTTAAACTCATGAATGCCCTGGATCTTGAAAAACATAATAGGTTTTTTCACAAGTGTAGAACAAATTTTAGAATGAGATTAAACTAATTAGTTTCGACCTATCCGTGCGCATAAAATGCTTGAAGATGGGGAAGGGAGAAGGCAAGGAAAAGTTGTGGAGTCACAAATTTTACTACCTTCTCCCATTTTGCTTTAGCCAACAGGGAGAAAAGTGAAGACTGCAAATAATTTATTTGGTGAGAAGCTCCTTCATTGCTAGCACCATACACTTGAAAAAAGTGAGATTCTAGAGGCCAAGCTGAAAATACATGCATAGATAGTAGGTTAATAGAAAGGCCAACAAAAGAAGCTTGGGCGGAGCTGTATGAAGAGCTAAAGTATACATACTGTTCAATTTTACATAATAAAGTCACTACTAGTTGGACCAAAAATAAAATATTTAAGCAATTGTGTGACAATGTGCTGCTCTTGTTATCGTTCCTCCTATGTGAGCAAGAACCAGCTGCTCGGCTTTGGAGAGAGGTATAGGCCGTGGGTCTACTCCTTCCCGTTGTCCAAGTTAGGTTCCACCTTTAGCTGAGGAGCGAATTCAAATCGATTGGCGGTCACCCCAAGCTAGTAAAGATATATTAAAGATTGAGGAAGGATATTTGATCAATTCTAGTGAAATTCAACACACTGAAGAAAGATTTAGACTACTGTGCTTCGGGATACTCTAGACATCTCTTCCATTCTGTTCTTCTCTTCTTTTCCACTGCATAAAGAGTGAACTATCATCTTTTGTAGCTTGACATTAAACCTTCTGATTTCTGTCGATTATACATATAAATTCACAAACTAAGCTTGACCTGCACTTCAGTGTTTGTTTGGTGCCCTGATGGTATTTATGCCATGATCCTTGGTGTCAATAGTTTTCATTTATTGGGTGGCACTTTTAACCAGGTTGTTCTAAATATTGATGAGTATCACATGGAAATTGGTTTGTCACACTTATTTGGGTATTGCCTTTTTCTTTTGCTGTTGACAGAGTCTGGCAAGACGTACCTATCCTTGTCATGGTCAGCATGCTTGCATATTTTTGCTTTCTGGAGCAGCTCCTGGTACTTTCCTTTTGTTTCTTCATTACTATATATCTTCCTATGTGAGTTAAAGTGCTGTGATGATCTAAGTGAATCTCTAGTTCTATTTATTTTAGGCCAAGTTGCCTAATTGATACCTTGTTTATAAAGTGGTACAGTTTTGTCCAGCTTTTTGCAATGTTTATTTTTGTAGAGTCCAGAACCTATTTGAGCCACAAATTGATCAAATTAACTCAAGTAAGCCACATTTTTAGAATGTAACTAAAATAGGCTTGCAGAAGACTTAGTCCATTTTATCTGATTTTTCAAACAATAGATGTTAACATCTAAATTTTGATATAAAACGGAAGAAATTCTTCCACTTTATAAAAATGAAGAAAAACTTCTGTTTTACATAAAAAAAGTTCACTTTACCAAAGTGTGGTGGGGCCCCTTCCACTTAATCAAAACGTCACTACTTTCACTTTTTACTTCACACTCTCCCTATGCACTAGTAATGCCACCATTTTCAAAACAAAAAAATGAATCTCAACCCTACAACCCAATCCCATGTAAAAATTTGAAGGTTCTCTAGACACGATTTGAAGATACTCGGTTGATTGGAGTCCCATAGCAAGATTCCAAAGATCGAAATTCACAACAGATCATTACTTAATTCGGATTGACAAAATTTTGCTAATTAGGTATTTATTTCTTTTCATATTTTGTTCGAGATTAATATAAAATCAGTGGAAGATTCAATATGATATTGTTGTTCTATTTTATTTGAAATTATGTTGGTTAGGTTGCCTTTTCCCTTTCGAATTCATGTTGTTGTTCTAGTTGGTAACTGGTATACTTTTTTTTTTCAACCATAAATTATCAAATTTGACATGCCTTTGTGTTTATCCTTGAACTTGACATGGTTTATTTATATAATTAAACCACAAATTTATCAAATTTGAAATTCAATTTCTCAATTCTCTCCTGTACCAACCTTGTTACTATTAAGTCTATATTTTTTGGGATAACGCATAATATGTTTTTTTTTTTTTGTGTGTGTGTGTATATATATATATATATAGAGAGAGAGAGAGAGAGAGAGAGAGAGACTGCACAGAAAACTCATGTAGTTGCCCATACAAGATTAAATCTTTGTTTTGTCAAGTTTACCTTAGCTTACTTGTTACCAAAATTGATGGTTAGACTTGAATCTTAGTGTGGGGACACGTGTGAAATAAAAAACCTCTAGTTTTGGCTCTCAATTTGACTTAAAAGACAAATATTGACGGGCCAAAGAAGATAAAAAAGGAAAATAGTGAATCATTTTGTTTTGACTAGATTGGTAATTAGTTTGGACTTGAGATGTTGCTAATTGACTAATTGTTTGAATAAAAAGAAAAATAGTACTGAAAAAATAGTTTGGACTTTATACTACTAAGTTATGTGTTTCCGTAATATATATTTTATTCAAGTTTCTTTGTTATTTGATTGTTACAAGTATGGTATTGTTATTTTTTTTGGAATGACCAAATTGAATTAGGATTCAGTAAAACTTCTAATTAGTAATTTTGAATTAAAGAAAATAATTAATAAGTATCATTAAGAATTAGTAGAATTTTTTCTTACAATATATAATGGAGCGTGTTGTAAACACTGGGCTGGTTGATCGTACACTTCTTCATTCTTAGCATGAGCATAAGTCAGAATCGTTAAGGAAATGTGAGATACCGTTTAGTAATCTTATGAAGACTATTCATGAATGATGCTTGGAATTTATTTTGTTTGCACCGACCTCATGAGTGTGTTGAGATCTTAGATAGGTGTATGATGTAGTTTGCATAGGTAGGATGCAGTATGATCGTGCCCTTGTTATGATCATGGTTGAGCATGAGAGGGCGGAGACTCATTGCCTCCATTTACTCTTCGATGAGGTCACGATTACGTTGCAGGATATATAGATCTTGTTTGGTTTGGGCATTGATGGTGATGCAGTGTACCTACAGGATGCTGCACAAAGGAGTCGACCATGACGTACTTTGTCTGAAATACTCATAGGATGCGTCGTAGCACCTACCCATATGGATGGTGCAAGTCGGGTTAGGATATGTAGAGCCGGTAGGAGATGCTACTGTAGTGAAAAGGGTTAAGAAGATAATCAAATTCTACATGTTTGTTATTGGGGGCATCGTATTGCCGAAAATGTTGGAGAACCTTGTGAGCTTGCAATACCTAGCATTTCTAGATCCCATTCAAGATGTAGGTAAGTACAGTTGGGGCAGTGCAATCTTGACCTACTTATACCGTGCATTGTGTCAGACATCTATTTGTGTGGCAGTTGATGTTTGTTGATTTATTCCTCTCTATCTCAGCTCCTCCTCACCATGAGAGGTTGAGGCTATATCCCTCTACCACTTGATGCAAAATTTTGCAACTTAAAAAGTCCTCTCAACATCGCAATGCTAGTACCAGTGGACTGGACAAAGTCAAACGCTACATCAACCTGTAATGTTGACTTGCCCTATAAATAATTGTCCATACCGCAGGTAACACAACCTATAATATGCCTCATAGGTACCATCATCCACCATACTCTTGGCGTTGATTGCCCTAATCATGAGAACACTTATCCAACATCTCAAGGACTTCTTGTCCACACCTCCTATGCTGATCACGTACATGGTGGTTGGTTTCCCAACTAAGGATCGTAGGTATGTTTTGGGGACGACCAAACTGACGTATTACTCTATCAGGTGTGTATACCTCAAAATTCTCTAAGCAAAGCATAGACATGCACACCATCTCTAGAAAGCCAACACGTTTAAAAACTAGTACAATAAATAGCAAAGTTTGAGTTGAATTGAATGTAAAACCAACTATAAGTCCTCACTTAAGTCTTAGGAGAAAACAAAGACACCATTACCGGTAGCATTTCAGAAGTCGAGCCTTTGATAGAACTCAACAACAACCTTTTGACTTGGCACACCCATTAAGAAAACATTAATTAGAAGTGTATTTTACAAAACTAACTGTATTAATGATTGTTATATATTTCATTTTATATCAAATTCTCGGTCCTACTTTTTTATTTTGAACTCTAAAACTCCTGATAGTCAGTATGATTCTTACATTAAAAAATAGTTTTGGTGGACACCGTACACTTGAAGTGTACATACATTGCATTGGTATTGCATAATCAACGAGCCTTCATGGATGACATGTGTGCTTATGCGTTGCTTAGAGATTGTTGAGGTGCACGCGCCTGATAGAGTAATGCGTTAGTTTGATAGTCTCCAGAACGTACTTGCGATCCCTAGTTGGAAAACCGACCACGATGTGCATGATCAGTGCATATAGATTGGACGGGACAACTTCTTTCATGATTGGGGCAATCAACGTGAGAGTACGGTGGATGATGGTACTTGCGAGGTAGGCTATGGACGGTTTTTTTATAGGCAAGCCTGCATTAGAGGTTGATGTCACGTTAGACTTTGTTCATTCCGCTAGTACTAACATTATGATGTCGAGAAGACTTTTTAAGTTGTCCAATTTTGCATCATAGTGGCAATGGGACGTATCATTTAGCTTCAAATGGCGAGGAGTTAGAGCAAAAGGAGAAGAATAAATCCACAAATGTCATAGATGCCCGACATAGTGCACGATATAAGTAGGCCAAGACTGCACTGCCCCAACTGTACTTACCTACATCTTAGATGGGATCTAGAAACGCCAGGTATTGCATATAAGGTTCCCTGGCATGTTCAGGAATAAGATGCCCCCAATGTAGCAAGCATGTGATGAGTCTGACTATCTTCTCAATCCTTTCTACTGGAGTAGCATCTCCTACTGGGTCTACCTATAACTGATCTTGCAAGTAGCCAGTAATGTTATGTATCCTCATGTGACTCGCACCAACCGTATCGCTAGGTGCTACGGCGCATCATGTAAGTCTCTAACAAAGTACGTCATGGCCGACTCTATTGTGCAGCATCATGTCGGTATATCACCGTTGATGCGCAAACCAAACAAAACTTGCACATCCTGTCACATAATCATGACCTCACCGAAGAGTAAATGGAAGCAATGAGTCTTCGCCCTCCAATAATCAATCATGGTCATACTGCATCCTACCTACACATACTACATTATACAACCCAGACCTATGTAAGGTCTTCTTAACATGCTCGTGAGGCTGGTGCAATTGAAATAAATATTCCAGGCATTATTCATGCGCAATGTCTTCATAATACTACTTAACGGTATCTCACATTAAGATGACAAGTCTGACTTATGCTGGTTTTGAGAGTGGAGAAGTGTATAACCAACCGACCAAGGGTTCAAAACACACTCCATTATATATTGTAGGGAAAAAGGTCTGATATACCCCTTAACTTTGCCATTTGGAGCTGATATACCCCTCGTTATGAAAGTGGCTCATATATGCCCTTACCGTTATACAAACGACTCACATATACCCCTGTCGTTACAAAATGGGCTCACATATACCCTTTATTTAATGGAAGTTAAAAAATTAGTTTTAAATTTATATTTTTTACTTTTAATTTTTTAAAAAAATTATTTAGAGGTATATATGATTCTTCTATCAAAGTTCAAGGTATATTTTAATCTTTTTTCATACATAAATTATTTTTTGACTTTTTTTATTATAATTATTTGAGTTTCTTATTCTTATTTTTTTTTCTTTCATCCCTTAGTTTAAAGAAAAAAATGTAAACTATTTCTTTTGTCTATATTGTAATTTGATTTTTGCATTCGAAGAAAAAAATTTGGTCATCTACAATAAGTTTTCCAAGAATATTAGTGAAAAATAAATAGATTTGATTATCAAAATAATAATTCTAAATTAGTCATTAAAACAAAAAAAAGTTTTAAAAATATATGTTTGACGAGGATTAAATTTACTCATGAGATTATATCTTTCAGAAAAAAATTAGATTAAAATTTATTTATTTTTTCATTTTTCGTTAGAGGAAATGGATATATGTGAGCCATTTTTTTTATAAGTAGGGGTATAGATGAGCCACTTTCATAACAAGGGTTATAGTTGAGGGGGTATATCAGACCCTTTTCCCTATATTGTAAGACAAAATTCTATTAATTTCTAATGCTTACTTATTAATTATTAGCTTTAATTTAAAATTACTAATTAAAAGTTTTACCAAATCTAATTCAATTGAGTCATTCCAAAAAAAAAAAATTAGTAACAAATAAATATAGCATATATTATGGTGACAGATAACTTACTAATATAAAGTCCAAACTATTTTTCTCTGAAGTCCAAACTATTTTTCTCTGTATTTGAACAATCAGTCAATTAGCTACATTTCAAGTCTACACAAATTACCAACTTAGTAAACACAACGATTCCTTACTTTCCTTTTTCTCTCTTATCTGGCTAGTCGATATTGTGTTTTTAAGTCAAATTGAGAGCTAAAACTAGAGGCCTTTTGATTTTACACTTGTTCCCGCACTAAGATTCAAGTCTAACCAACAATTTTGGCAACAAGTAAACTAATGTAAATTTGACAAACAAAGACTTAATCTTGTATGGGCAACTACACGAGTTTTGTGTGCAATCTATATGTTTATTTATCTATACACAACATATTTTATGTTGTCCCAAAAAATTAAAATATAGAGACTTCATACTAAGTAGGTAGGTACCCATAACTTTGTATTCTTTCACAGGGAAGAAAATCGAACTTCAAAAAATCCGTGGTTAATCGTATGAACAAATCATGTCAAGTTTAGGGGTGAACAAAAGCTTGATAAATTTATTATTGAAAAAAAACTTATCAATTACCGACTAGAGCAACAATATGATTTCGGACGAAAAAAAGGCAACCTAACCAACAAAATTTCGAATAAACTAGAACAACAACATCATTTCGAATCGTCCAAATCTTTATATTAATTTTGAATAAAAGATGTAAAGAAATAAATACCTTATTTTTCTATTCGAATTGAGAAATGATTTGTTGTGAATTTCACTCTTGGAATTTTTAACGGGCCTCCAATTCACCGGGAATTTTCAAATCATGGCTAGAGAGCCTTCGAATTTTTAACCTGGGGTGGTGTTGTAGGGTTGATACACGTTTTTTTCTTTTAAAAATGGTGGGGAACTATAGTGCATAGGGTGATTGTGAAGAAAGTGAGTTTTGATGTAATAAAGTGTATGACCCCCATCACACTATGGTAAAGTGAAACTTTTTTAGATGTAAAATGGAAGAAAATCTTCCGTTTTATAAAGTGGAAGAATTTCTTCCGCTTTGTCTGCCATTAAAATATTAGATATAATGTAATAAATAGTTCCACTAAGCCTATTTTAATTACTTTCTAAACACGTGGACTACTTGTGTTAATTTTGTCTATTTGTGGCTCAAATAGGTTCGGGACTAATTTTTGTACTTAGTTTATAGGGTTTGTGGAACTTTTATCCTACTTTTTTGGAATAGGCACATCGCCACATAATACCCCAAAGAATTCCTCCCAAATTAATTAATCTTTTGACAGAAAAATTCATGTGCAAGTTGTTGATCAACCTTAATGATGGTCTTCTTTTGGGGGGTTGAACCCTCAAAAGTACCGGTGAAAGAATCTTTTTTTAAATAACAAATTTGGGGGTAGGGGTATGGGGAATGGGGAGGAGGAATAGAACTCTCACCAACTAGGTGGGAGTTCAGGTGTCAACCATATCAGCTACTAAGATTCTCCACCAATAAAAGAATCACGTTTAAGACTCATTTTTAATCTAAAATTAGTACAGTAAAGAGGAAATCCCATTTTTTCAATACATAAATTGAGTCATGATTTATACATGTTTTAGTTATGTAGGATTGTAAAATGATAGCCAAGCACCCTACTTGTTCTACTGAATTTTATACAAAGCAACAAAAATGCTAACAAAATGGTATAAACTATGCTAATTTAATTACATGAATAATTTCCTTCCAAACCAACCACCAAACAATGCCTTGGGGTTTCATGGGCACATTTCTAACAAGTATGACAACAAATGCACACACCCTATTAACTATGTAACAAAAGTGCACATTCGAGAAGTTTGTCAAAATATACAACTCCTGTAACGCTGGTTACTAAATGTGATTTTGGCTCTATTTATTCACTGCTCAGTTCCTCTGTCATAACCATCATGATATTCATATTCACTTATTCAGCATTCATGTTATTCATGTTCTAAGTTGAGTATGGAACGGCATGTTACATCACAAGCTTCTTGAAAGCGTAGATGGGAGTAGTTTGGTATTTTCTAATCATGTGTGTCGGTAAATTAGTGCAGCTCGTTGCTGCAACACTTATCATTATTCGGCATGTCCCTAAAACTGACTGGGTTGTGAGTCTCTTAATGTCAGCTTGGAACGATGTTTAAAATTGTCAAAATATACAGTACTCCAGTTAAAGCGACAACCACTTGCATTCACATTGTGTTTGATGTATAATATTGTATTTATTAATTTCTTTTCTTGTATTATGACAGGTGTCTGACTTAGGCGCTCGTGCTCTTGCGATCTCTTTACCTTTCTCTTGTGTTTTAGGCCTCCTTTCTTCTTTGATAGCTTCTACTATGGGTATGATTGTCTTTCCCCTCTTTTTTTTCCTTATCAGATGTCATTTCTGAAATGATTCCATCCTAAAACTTCTAGTTCCTGGCCATTTTCTGTCAATGGTGACGTTAGCTCATAGAAACGTAGGATAAGAATGCACATTCAACACAATAATTCTCCTTTTGCACTTAACTTAAATGCGTCCAAATAGATTGTGGCTAGAGAGAAAAAGGAAGCTGTTAATCCAGTGAATGCATGTTGAATTTTCTGTCTTTAGATATAAAAATAACTAAGAACTGTGAAATCACTGTATATACAATTTAAAAATAGTATTATGTGTAATGTCACCATTTCCGAACTTGAAGTTGACTCAGTTTAGCATAGGTTTTGCACGCGACTGATAAGTAGCCACTTAGTTGAATTTTGATCTTTAGTATACATGGTGAAGTGTTTGGATAAATAGTTCTGTGTGATTAACCAAGAGCTGCTTGGCTTTACTTATCCACTGCTTGATTCCTCTCTTAACCAAGAGCCTTTTGGACAAACTGCTTATCATGATATAATACATACCACATCTTTTAGAAACTCCGTGTGTTTTTGTGTTAGCTGATTCCTTCACATTTTCTACACATTCCTATTGATTTTTTCCCTTGGAGGGATGAGTCTTTTTATTAAGAATTATATTTACATTCTTTGGCCATTTGCAGTCGGCAAGAGTTACATATGGGCTTATGCTTCATTTCAGTTTGCAATAGTCATCCTGTTCGCCCATATATTCTATGCAGTGGTAAGAATCTTTCATTCTATAATTTCTTATAATTCCCAGCTTTCTTTACTCTTATGTATGTTGGCAGAGAGAGAAAGGGGTGGGGGTGGGGGTTCTGTTTTGACTGCAGGGAAGACCATTGGTGTTTTCACTTGCAAAAATAACCGATACATAAAGATTTGCATAATTGCTAACGTGCAGCTTAACGTTAGTGCACTCCTATCGGTGCTGCTTTCCTCCTTCACTGGGTTCGGTATTGCAATTAGTACCAATTCGCTCCTCGTAGAGTATTTGAGGTGGAGATCAAGCAGACGCCTTCGATCATCCCCTGCACAGACAACCAGTACCGTGCAGTTGCACAGTACTCTGCCTGTTCAAAGATATTTTAGCTACATCGACAACCCCTCAGGACAACAATATCACCACAACCACCGCCCCCATAATAATCAGCAGCAACAACAACCATTGCATCCTGTAGTTGGACAATCAGAAAATCCGGGGCTGCCAGAGATCAGGATCCAGACCGCCTAACTCGGAGTAGTAATATTTTTGTATTATGAGGAATTCCTCATCTTGTGCTTCTTTTAGTAGTACCATGAAAAATCACTTGGTACTAAGCTGCACAAGGAATAGGCTACATATAATATTTGGCATTAAAGGTGGGGGGAAATTGGAGAAATAGGAAAGCTTGTAGAGCATTTTATCATCAATAGTATTTGGAATCATGTAATTTTGAAATACTTATGCTACTTTATTAAATACAAAAAAGGTTTCTGCTTAAAAATTTGAGTTCTTTCTGAATTTCCTTCTTGTTCAATAACAACTGCAACATTGTTATCATGTTGTCACTTGATGTACGCACAATTACAGCTCTGATGACTGACTCAAATCTTTCTAGGGACATATTTTCCAGTAGCCAGTGGTCATCCAAAACCTTCCCCTAACCTTTGGAGCTATCTCGGCCGAGAGCCATAGTTAGTTGTTGTCTCCATTTGGTTATTTCTTCAACGTTGTTGATACTAATAAAAACCAGTCACATGATGGTTCTAGATGTTGTGCTAGATTGAGATATGTAGGATCAGGTGTACTTCAATTTTGTGTATTCAGGAAAAAATAACTATCAGAATATTACTATTAAGATGGAAAGAGAGCACTAGAGTTAAATTAGTTATACATGCAAGACAAACCTTAGAATCGAACCTCTATTGTATGTATTTATTCAGATCATCTACTTTCGCCACAACCTAAATCATATATCACCCTTTCAAGGCTCGGTGTACTAGATGGAATGCAACTGAAGCCCATCAAAAAAATTGATAAAATTAGAGTCGACATGGTTTAGTTTCTACTATTGGCACTTGTGTGATCTGCAAATTATTCAAACACACAAAAGCCAACAAATTCCAGTATAAGAGAACTCACAAATTGAAGGAAATGATAGAATCTCATATGTCTCAGTGGAATTTTCAAATAAGAATTTAACTTGTATTATATAAACAACTTTTACATTATTAGTGTATTTTACTGGCAATTATAATGTAGATCCACCTCTGCTTGTTACCTCCATCACGAGCACCTTACGCTACACGGGTGCTAGTGCTTGATTAATAAGATATCAAAGGGGCCTAACAAAACGTAATAGGCTACTACTCTAGGTGCACGTTGTTTCTTCAAGCTCTGCCACTTCTTTCAAAAATCAATAAACAGCGCTATAGGTATCAGGTGATGTTTGAGCTAACTCGGACTATTTCATCGACTACTTATTACCTTCCTAGCTAGCATTGGATTCATAGACATCATTAGCTTCTGCCGTGACTAGGTCCGACTTCGTTGCCATCACCAGTGTTTTTGTTCCTGGGAGTAGAGAAGAGAGATGGCTAGCTTAGTATGTACAACATGTACTTGGAAGATAGAAGACTATGCTGATGCTTTAGTTTTCTAATTTGGGGGCAGGTAAAAGGAAGTTGTTTCTAGTGACGAACAAGAGTTAATTAGTTATACAGCTAGCGACACAAGACAAACCTTTAGAATTGAACCTCTGTTGTCTCCATTTATTCAGATCATCTACTTTCACCTTACTATCATAGTTCACCCTTTCGAGACTTGGTATACTCACAGATATTCCTTGTTTGACAAACGTCTTCATTTCAGGGCAGTAATAGATCAGAACATCTTTGAGCGTCAGAAAGAAATGACCCACCTTTGGCAGCCATTGAAGCGTCAGATCATTCAACAGGGGAAATAAGGTCATGATTCCTTCTCCTTTTTGTTCCTCTTTTGTGATCACTTCTTCCATTGAATCAGAGTCTGTAATGTATAGTTTCTGGAGATTCAGAAGACCTCTGGCTACTGATGGAGGCATCAAGTTTCTCAATTTTCCACAACTCAATATATACAATGTTTCAAGTTTTCTGAAGTAGGTAGTTGGAAGGTGGTGAGAGCATAGAGAACTTATGCTGTTGTAATCATTGATATATAGATATTCCAGGTTGGGACAAGAAACCTGCAAATACACAAATTTATAGAACAGTTATATTATCTATTTAGTCATGAATTGGACCTTTCTATTTCTACTAATCATGCAGAAACTAATAAATAAATGTTCTACTTGAATTGGAAAATAGATGAATAACAAAAGGAGTGTAAGATAATATTTATACATCTAGCGGCACAAGACAAACCTTAGAATTGAATATTGCTTTATTGAGATCATCGACTTTCTTCTCATCATCACTGTTTACACTTTCTAGACTCGGTGTGCTCACAGATATTCCCTGTTGGACCAACGGCTTCATTTCAGGGCAGTAAGAAATAAGCACTTTCTTGAGATATGGAAATTTTAGAGCATGTTCCCTCAGAAAGAAATGCCCTAACTTAGGCAGCCTATCAAGCTCCAGATTTTCCAACAGTGGAAATAAAGGTTCATTCGTCATGAGTTCTTCTCTTTGTTCGTCTTCTGTGATCACTTCTTTCATTGACTCACAATCTTGTATGTCTAGTATTCGGAGATTCAAAGCACCTCTGGCCACTGATGAAGACATCAAGTTTCTCAATTTTCTACATCTCGTTACTTCCAATCTTTCAAGTTTGTTGAAGTTGGCAATTGGAAATGGGTGAGAGTATAGATCTCTTATGCTGTTAGGCCCCCAGATAAGTATCTCTTCTAGGCTGGGACAACAAACCTGCGAATGTTGAAGTACTTGTATATTAAAGCGATGAAAATTCTATATAGCTCAAAGTACAAATCCAAAAATAAACCATATCTCATCTTTACATCAAGGTAACAGAAAGTGAAAACCTAAAAAAGTTGACGAACAGAAATAACTATCTAAGGTTACTATTGCTACTTACTAGTTAAAATGGAAAGAGAGCAGTAATTAATTCTACAGCAAGTGGCACCAGACAAACCTTTAGAATTAAACATGGCTTTGTTGAGATAGCCTACTTTCACCTCATCATCATTGTTCACACCTTCGAGACTCGGTGTACTCACAGATATTCCCTGTTGGATAAACGTCTTCATAGCAGGGCAGTAATCAATCAAGAAATTACTGAGAATTGGAATTTCAAGAGTACACTCAGTCAGAAAGAAATGCGCGAGGTTTGGCAGCATTATAAGCTGCAGATGTTCCAACAGGGAAAATAAGGTCATGATTCCTTCTCCTTTTTGTTCCTCTTTTGTGATCACTTCTTCCATTGATACGCAGTTATTAATATCCAGTATTTGTAGATTCCAAGCACCTTTGGCCACTGATGGAGACATCAAGTTTCTCAATTTTCCACACCTCTTTACTTCCAATGTTTCAAGTTTACTGAAGTAGGCAGTTGGAAGTTGGTGAGAGCATAGAGCAGTTATGTTGTTAGCCCGATTGATATATAGCTCTTCTAGTCTGGGACAACAAACCTGCAAATATATGTTTTTAATATCTCAAACACATTTTTAAAAGGCATACTATAAAAACATGCCCTTTAACTTCGACTCAGCTCACACTTATACCCTTCAACTTTGGGTGTGCATAAATAGATACTTTAACTTGTATTACATGACATCCTACATGGCAATTTATTGTCCTACATGTATTATTACACTGATTCTACTTGTTCAATTTTATACAAGTTTAAATGTTTCCTTGTGCACATACAAAGTTGGAGGGCATACATGCCAACCCAAGTTAAAGGTTATATTTATGTAAATGCCTTAAAAAAGAAAGAGAATTTGTGTAAGTAAATATCTTTAAAACTCAAGTAAAAGGTAAAATTTTAATTCATAAAAACTGTGAAAGTAAGCTGGTTTAATGATAAGAAGCAAACCTTTTCATCAAAAAGAGGACTTGAGTGAGTGATGGAGTTGTTGGCAGTAGGCCAGAAATTTTGGAACTCAGGTAAGTAGTGGAATAGCATTTTCCGTAACCGAGGGAACTCAATGCCCTCAACAGCTGTATTGCAAAAGTGAGTGAGGCATTCCAGATATTCAAGCTTCAAGTCATATAAATTCGGGAACTTGATTACTTCATGTATCCTCCTAGAGATGTTCAATAAATGTGTCACTAATTTACAAAAAGTGAGGCGGAGACATTTTATGTTCTGAAATTCATTCAGCTGCAACTGAGTCAACACAAAATTAGAGCCATATCCGGTTGAAACTACAAATTCGCTTTCCTTCAACAGGTGGTAGATCCAATCATCCAATTGGGTGGTCTCAGTGACTTCTAAAGAAATACTCTTGTCGTAATCATCCATGCTTAAAGAGACTACGAAAGGTCCACCCACATTAAGAGCATACCGTGCCTGTTTGGAGGAAAGGCTCAAGTTACTGTAGATCACATCTCCAAAACATCTACTTAATGTCAGTGAAGTTAATCTCAGTAAGGATTCCAGTTCCCTTAAGGTGAAGTAACTACAATCTTCTACTCCCACCATATATAGTTCCTCCAATTGAACTAGCCTTGATAAGACACCTGCTGAAATCCTTTTTAAGTTGTTTATTACTATCATTCCGCAACTCCAACATAATTAGATTGGTCAGTTTTCCTATCTCCACCGGCAGCTCCTCTAACTGAGAACCTCTTATCCTGAGAATTTCTAAAGTGACAAGTTCCCCCATAATGGATATGCCATCCAACCTTAGATTACTCAGACACAGCGTCCTCAAACTTGACAACCTCTGAACGGATGCTGGAAAAGGCAGAATGGAGTCCACATATCCCCTCAGGCTTAAGATATTGAGTTCACCCATGTCATTAAAAAAAATTCCTGTGATTTGAATGACTTTTCAAACCAGAGTTTCAACATTAGAAGCTTCGGTTTTGGGCAAACTATTGGTCTAGGAAGCTCATTAAATTTCTTTGCAACAATTGACATGTGACTGAAATGCTCATAAGAATTTCTTCTTGGGAACTCTTCCGAGTTAACATGGTGACTCACCATAAAGTTATGCTCTCCCTCGGATGCAATACTTATAGCCATAGCACGAACCACATCATGCATTTTGACATAATTTTTATCTGAACCTTGGGACAACAAGAAACCATCTTTCAATCTTTCTAACAGAAGACACGCCCTATCTCTTGCTTGTTCTAAATTTTCAATGCCCGGAAAGATGTGAAACCCACTTCCATATCCAAAGTAATTATATATCTCTATCTTCCTCGAACAAGGAACAAAGCAAAAATAGGTACTTGGCTTCATTACTTCCCAAGTAATCATAGCTTAACCTCAGAGGTTTATACAACTCCGTGGGCACTTCAAGGATACTTATTGTTTCTGCACCACGTAATTGTCCAA